AGTGTGTGGAGCCGCACCCAAGAACTGGTATTTGTAGGAGATAAGGTGCCCATCAATCTTCTTTCAGGCCTTTCCCAGGATGTAAGGAAAATGATTTCCTGGTCTGCTCCTGCCAGGGATATCAAAGATGAGAAAGGGTRAAATAAAGACCCTGCTCCTGTGAATCTTCATAAAATACTGTGTGCCAGAGTAGAAGATGCTCTCAGTTTGATCTGGATTAGGGTACCGTATGCCTGGGTTTCCTCAAACATATTTCAGTTTTTCCATGTGGTTATTTTGTCCAGGACCAAGATAAATTCATCCAGAATTCACAAATGTCATGTATGGTTGTAATGGGTTGACCCAGGCCAGATGTCAGGCATCCACCAAAACTGCTCACTCCCTCCTCTCTGCAGCTGGACAGAGGAGAGAAAATTTAACAAAGGGTTTACGGGTTGAGATTGAGGACTGRGAGAGAGATCATTCATCAAACACCATCTCAGGCAAAACAGGCCAAACTTAGAGATATGGAGTGAATTTACCATGGACAAAATCAGTGCAGGATAATGAGAAGTAAAACAAACCCTTAAAAACACCTTTCCCTCATCTCTCCCTCTTCTCAGCTCCACCTCCTACCCCAGCAATGCAAGAAGACAGAGAATCAGGTTGTGATTCATCACCCAAGGCTTTTCCCTCTGCTGAGGGAGAGGAGCTGTTCCCCAGCTGCACTGTGGGGTCCCTCCCGTGGGGGACAGTTCTCCATGAACTTCTCCAATGTGGCTCCGTCTCAGGAGCAGCAGCTCCCTGTGAACTGCTGCAATGGGAATCCATCCCATGGGCACCAATCCCTCTCAGGCTGCTGAGTGTGGGCCCCTGTTCCATGGGGTGCAGTCATTCAGGGACAGGCTGCTCCAGCCTGGGAGCAGGGCCCCTCTGTCCATGGACCTCCCATGGGGTCACAGCCTCCTCTCAGGCATCCCCTGCTCCAGTGTGGGGCTCTCCACGGGGTGYAGGATCTCCAAGGGCTGCAGAGGTGCAGTTCCTTCACCGTGGTCTGCACCATGGACTGCAGGGGAATCTCAGCTCCCGTGCCTGGAGCAGCTCCTGCYGCWCCTTCTGYACTGAYYCTSCTGTCTGCAGAGTTGTTCCTCTCACATGTTCTCACTCTGCACTTCTCTGACCACATTACAACTGCACAATCCTTTTTGTTTTGAAATCTTCTTACATATGTTATCAGAAGCATTACCATAATTTCTAGCCCAGCCCAGCCTTGGCTGCAGCACACTCATCTTTGGCGCTATCAGGGATTGGCTCTGCTGGGCATGGAAGAAGCTTCCAGCAGCTTAACACAGAAGCCACCCCGGTAGATTCCCATCACTACCAAAACCAGGCCGTGCAAAACAAATACAATTGTGCAGGCAAATCTATAATCCTAGTGTAAGYGGAATGCAATAGGAAAACCAGGCATGTTCTGGCCTATGGTGAAGCACAMGTTCAGTCAGCTGGACATGCATATGCCTGTTTGTTTTGTCTGACATTTCCTCAGGAGTAGTAAATATGCCACAGCATGGCTCTCCCAGGACTGCATTCAAATGCTGCAGACATCCCTAGGCTTCACAACCCTAGAAGCTCCTTTGCTAGCTCCTAGAAGGAGCTCACTCCTTTGGCAAGAGCTAGGACATTWGCAGTCATGTATTGCATGAAAAGATGAGTCATGAAAAGCTAACTTTCCATAAACAGCCTGGTGAAAGAGTGAGAGCTAAAGCAAAGTTCCTTCAGTACTACTGCATCGTATCTCTGAAGACAAGTGGTGGAACAGGATTCTCAGCCTCCAACTGCCTKTTCTTTAGAGGTCACACAAACATTTTGGTGGTCATGTTTGGTAAGCACCAAGGAGGCTGTGCTTGAGGGTTCAAAAATACCTCAGTGGTTTTCTAGGCACCGTTTCAGGTGCCAGAAAGAAGAATCCCACCTCTTCTGAGCACTGGCTGAGATTTGCTATTGCTTTGCTTTTTCATTGTATAATTTCAGACTCAGCTGCTGGGCAATATGGCTCTGTCTTAAAACAAAAAAAAAAGAGAATCAAGAAACAGATCAATTCCTGCTGGATTCCCTTCTGCTCTTCCTTGTATGATCTGTTGCAGAGGGTACTTGCTGCATCAAGCTTTCATGAGGTTTTCTCTTCACTGTAGTTGAGACTCTCCTCACAATCGGCCTCTCAGAGTAGCCCATGGTATGTTATTCTTTTAGAGGCAAGACTCCAGGACCTCTTTGCAGCTTCCAGAAAAGATCTGCTTAATGTTCTTTGCTGGAAGAGGTGGGAATGATRATCACAAAGGTCCCAGGACTTGGTCCCTGAGAGCTGAGTGAGAAAACATTGCTTCACATAGTCTTTACATCAGCTATATGATTAGAAATACATGAGCAATGGTATAATCTGCATTGTCTCCCTTCGTCCCAGTTCTCCCCTCCCACACAGAGAGGCTGGCAATACTGGGAATTAGGTCAGGATGATGGGGAGGGAAGGCAGGAGGCGATTCCTGGATTGCAAAGGTTATGCTGCCTTCCTTCTTTCTCTAGGATGCCAATGGCTCTGTGCTGTGCTGGCAGAGGGTCARTGATCCTTTCACCAGTCACTTTTATCCTTTTGTCAGTTCAGGATCACTCTGTGTGGTGACACCAGAGGTCTGAGCAGCAAGTGAGGGAGGTCTTCTGCCTCTTTGACYAGAGGAGAGGTCCCAGACTTCAGTTCCAGCTGCTTCCCAAAATATGCTGTCCATGTGTGCTGCCCAGTGTGCGGGGGGTGGTCTGCATGTGCCCTCCCTGGGCACCATGGCATCTTGCTGTCCCTCAAGCAGGTGAGGTGAGCTGGGGATCCCTCAGCTCTGGCTTCAGACCTTACCCAGTGCTGCACACATGGGATTTTCAGTACCTTGGATCCTCTGTACACTGGGGCCAACTCTCCAGTGCAGGGAGRAAGCTAATGCCGTTAGGCCAAAAATGTTCAGGGAAAGCATATTGTTAAAGGACTGTGCAAAACATTTAATTTGCAGACACTATAAAATGAGCAAATATGCCTTTTCATTCTTTGGAGTTGATAGTGCCAGTTTTTGCAATGTAAAACCAACCCTGTCTTACTGACAAAATGTTAGTGTATTTTTCATCACTTTCTCCCCCATTCCTTGTACCAGTTGCTCTTTGCACTGTTTTGAAAATGGTTGCCTGTCCAAGCGGCAGTTTTTATGAATGAGGAAGAAATGTGTTGTCATCATTTCCTGTCAGAGGAACAGATCAGAAAGYTGAGCCTGCAAGGCACCCTCAGGTTTATTGGGTTGAAAGTCTGCCTGTGTGGGTGTGCATCTCGGTGTTCTGGCATTTTCAGGTACAAGAGACACGTGGCTGRGATCCAGGGGCCCTAAAATCACAGGATCACAGGATAGCTGAGGTTGGAAGTGATCCCTTGAGATCATCTAGTCCAACCCTTCTTCTCAAAGCAGTCAACTAGGAAAGTTGCCCAGGACCATACTTCCAAGGATGGAGACTCCATAACATTTTTGGCAATCTGTGCCGRTGTTTGACAACCCTCACAGAGGAAAAATGTTACATTGCATATAAATGAGGTTCTCTGAATTTCAGTTTGTCCCCATTGCYTCTTGTCCAGTTGTTGGGCACTGCTGAGGAGAGGCTGACTCTATCTCTCTGCTACCTCTTCTGAGATATTGGTATGCATTGAAACTGAAGCACTGAAACCAGACCACACAAAACTCAACTCAGGAGCAGGACAGCTAGAAGTTCCTTGCTGCYGGGCAATAAATTTTGGAAAGATAATGGTCCTGCTGTTGGACCATTAGAAGAAGCAACTGGACAACACAGTGATTTTTTACYCCCTGGTGTGAGTAAATTTAACCACTAAAGCTGTAATGAACATGAGATCGTTTGAGAACGCTGTACCTCTGGGGCAGTTTGGGAAGCTAGCCTTAGCCTGCTTTCTGCTTGTTAGCATCCCTTCTTCCAAGGTTAGCGTTCAGGATTGCTGCTTTCTTTTTCAAATAATTTGCATTTCTTCATTTTTGTTTGGGACAGGTAGCTCTCACTGCATCAAAAATCCTTTGCACCTAACGTTTTCTGCAGAAGACATTTATTCAGCCAAAAATATGGACAAATGCAGGGTTAACATAGGCAAAACATGTCAAGATAAAAGAGAGCAACAAAGATGACTGTGAAAGCAACTGGTGATCTGCCAGGTCTGTTACAGGCATGTGTATTTGTCCAAGGTGGGGCTGACTCTGAGCTGCGTCAGTGGATTGGGAGGAGGCAGGAAATAGGATAGAACTTGTGTCCTAGTACTGTTCGCGGCCCAAACCTTCCAGTGTGGCACCGGATGTGAACTTTGTGTTGTTGAATGCTTGTAAAACTCCAGTTCGGCTGCCCAGTATCAAGCAATACAGTTGCTCAGCCTTTAGTAGTCATCCCAAGAGGATGTGATACCATGCCAGCAGCATGGACATTTTAGTTTAGAATTGCTTAGCTCTCTGCTTGTCAGGTGATGATGCACTTGGTTTCCTGCCATTGAGTGCATGCATGCTTCCCTTCACCTTTCACCCCTCTGAGCTGCCTAAGCTTTGCTGTAGCTCAAAAGCTGCTTGCTTGGGCTCCCTTGTCAAATTGGAGTATTGTTGATCCAGCATCACTGATAATACTGTTCATCAATTGYACATTAAAGAGGTCTATATGGGGCAAAGCCGTGCCCTCTCCCAGTCCTTGCCCATATTCTCAGCTGTGTGAGGTGCTCTTTCCTCACCTGTAACATTATCTGCACTCTCCTCTCTCCATCAGGGATGTGCAACAAGGTTATGACAACAGGTGGGCACCAGAGGAAAGTGTGCCTACTGCTTGCTGTCTGAGGTGTGGTGTGAGCAGCCTAAGCGGGGAGGGCGAGCCTGTGGTGGGGACAGGGGAGTTGGGCTCTCCCAGCCTTTTCCAGGGTGGCCTGTCCTTATGCCGTGTTTGTCCCCTCGCAGATGTCGTGGCACCCGCAGTACCGCAGCTCCAAGTTCCGCCACGTGTACGGCAAAGCCGCCAGCAAGGACAAGTGCTACGACTGCGTGCCCATCACCCGCAACGTCCACGACAACCACTTCTGCGCCGTGAACCCCAACTTCATCGCCGTGGTGACCGAGTGCGCGGGCGGCGGCGCCTTCCTCGTCATCCCCATCAAGCAGGTGAGCTCCCCAAGGCGAGCTGGATGTCGAGACCATGTCAAGAGGCTGGAGGAGGGACAGGCTTTCCCAGGGAGCTAGGTCAATTCGGTTAATGGTGTTGCCCAAATTGCAAAATGTTGGAAGAGGCCCCGGTTGTCCTAGCAGGTGATTCCTGTTGTGCGTGTGGTTATGTGTCTTGCATTGCTGCTTGCAGATTTTTGACACCTTTCTTCATTTTATAACTCATTTGCTTTTCTTGTATAATAATGTGCTGTTCAGATGTTTGTCTCCTGGGAGAAGCTGCAAATTAAAAAGTATTTAGTGGCTACAGAGGGCAAAACCAGAAAGATGCTTTAGCGACATGGATTCAGCTGTGACCAAAGGAGTATATGGTATGTTTTGTTCTACCATCTCCTTTGTGAAAGAATGGAGACACAGTTATCAAGCAATGAAGCTCTTAAACTTCAAGCATTGATGSTGTGTTTTCCTTTTCAGAAACAAATCCCAAGTATGTGAGTTTTGATGACTTAGGATCTGATGAGAGGGAGAAGCTGGCTGTCTGATGTTTATTGCTTCAGTAAAATTAGGCATGCACTGATGTGGATTAACTTCAATTGAGATTATGATCTCTCTGGAATCAGGACAGAACAGATGAAAGGCAAAAGTTCAGCCTTTAATTAAAAGTTAATTGRTGGTGTTATTGCAATGCTACTTTTTCAATATATATTTGCTAAGGATGAAAGTGAACTGGCTATGCTTGAAGAACCTATCACAGTTTCCGGCCCTTCTGGACTTTGTTAATTAATTCCTTCAATGCTGGTGCTGTTTAGAGACTGTCCTTCTAAAATTAACCACTACCCTGTTTTTCTTGACTGAGTCACTTCTGCCCCCACAGTCCTGGTTTGTTGAGGTTCAACAACTTGTCTTTATCACAGAATTGCATCTATGAGCAGACAGCTGTTGACTGTGGGATGTGGTGTGAGACCAAGCTCTCAAACTGCTGGCAAAAGTAGCTGAAGGTGCTTGCACTGCTTACTATTAATTTTTCTGTCTTCTCACCTCTTCTCAGCTTGGCTTTCTTTGTAGTAATTCTTCCTTCTTACACCTGCTCAAATACTCCACCCAACTCTGAAATAATGCATGCAGAAATCAAAGGCATGGTAGATCTAAAAAGATACAGAAAAGGATAATTAAGGTATGTCAATGAAAATGTGAAAGTACTTTCATGTGAGGAAAGACTTTGTAGGCTAGGCCTCAGTCAGTCTGGGAAAAAAGGCAAATGAGCAAAATATATAAAACTGTGCAAAGACCAAGAAAGAAGTTTCAGGAGCAACTCTTCTTGATTTGTGTGGTGAAGGGGATTCTGGARACCAGGGAGGAGACTGTTAGCAGCAGATGTAAGTGCTGCTGCAGTTCAGATGTGGGGCTCACTGCTCCGGATGCTGATGAATCCAGAAAAATTAAGGGCTTCAAAACAGAGCTATGGAGAGGAGGTGGTCCCTTGAGGGTTAACCTTTGGCTGTGGATCAGGGAAATTAGGTGCTTCACACAGCTGTTCTCTGAATACCAGTTCCTGGCCAGTGCTGGGGGGTAAAGCAGCCTCAGCCACACAAGGTAAGGGATTCCCTGACTCAGGATCTGCAATACCAGCTGGTTTCTTTTTTTTTTTTTTTTTTTTTTCATGATGCACTTCCCAAGTGGTACCATCCGGTGCAAAGCAGAAATTTTTTGACTTGTGCTTCTGATGGGGTTTTATTTTGTGGCTGCCCTCACCTCCCCCTGTGAGGGTGAGCTATGGCAGACAGTGCACTGGGCACTTGGGTTGTGCCCTCAGCTGCCAGGGCATCAAAGGCAGCCTGTTTTGGAGATGTGTCATGGACAGTATTCCCTCCTATGATGGACAGCTGACCATGGTTACTTTTGCCTGGATTCACAGGAAGCGGACACATCCCAATCATGACATAGTGTGGAGGAAGAGCCCAAGAGTCAGGATGTCATGCATTTAGTCAAAGCAGGAGGTAATAGTCAGGACAGGGAGGGCTGYACTTTCTGGGGTCAATGAACAACCTGTTCAGGGAGCTGGGAGAGGAATTTTGTGGTCTGCCTTTGAAAGATGATGTCTGCCTTTCTCCTTCTCTGATGATCAGACTTGCTTGAGACAGCATTTGTCTCTACAGCAAAAAACAGTCTCTGCAGCAAAAAACAAAGGCAAAAAATGTCCCAAGAGACAGGGAGATMATTTGTGCCCAGGTCTGCAATCTCCAGTCTTTCGATGTGTCAGCACCAGGTGTGAAAGGGAGGACATCTGTGTCTGTGTAGACCTAGACACAAACTCCCCTCCCTTTTCTCTGGGAACAGGGCCTGTAAAATGAAACCTATGATGCCCCTCCAGCCTTATGTAACTGACACATATGTGAGTGCTGTGTAGTGCCCTTTAGGGATGGAGGAGGCTGACCTATCTCATWGTAATCTACCCTGTACAAATCTGCTGGGAGAGTTTTGACAGATGATTTTCATCAAGGAACTCCAAGCTTGACTGCTTTTTTAGAAATGCTGAAATTTTAGAAAGTGGGTGGTTGAAAAACTGCTCATTTTCAAGCTCTGCAGGTAACTGTGGAAGTCAGGTGCCACTTCATGGAATGACAACACATCTAGTTACTGAAATAGCTTTYCTAGTACTGAAATAGCAGTTGATCTGTGGAGTGAAACTTCCTCCAGCAGTGAAGATCTTCACTTCCTCGTGCAGATGTGCATGTGAGGCCAGCAGCTCTAGCTTGATGTCATGTATGTTTGTTGGATCTTGGGRGCTCCATGTGTGGTGAGTCCTGCTCTGTGCCAGGTTTGGCACTAGGGCAGGTGAGACTGATGAATGGGAGAACAAGGGCTCCCTTTCCAGAGCCTGCTGGGGAAGTGGGAGTGAGAGTAAGAGAGCCTTGCAGGCAGTGGGCTTAGGACAGCCTGGGAGTCTCCCAAAGCAGAGCGGGGAGCAGACAGGCAACCAGCTTTGGGAGACGACAGAGTTGCCTTAGGGTTCAGGAGAAACCTTTGAAACCAGCTGTCCATCCCTTTTAGCTGTCATCTTGGAACCAAGCTCTGAACCTACAGAAGGGCACTGTGGGTGGAGGAGCACTCCTTATTAAAGGCCTTTTATCTTTCTTCTGCCTTCCCAAATCTTTGCATTGTCGCTATTATAAAAGGGAATTGTTTTAGACTGTAGTCTAAAAAAGCACTGTCTTTTACATTTCAAAGCCCTTTGAATGTTCAGTATAAAGCAGGTTAGTGCCAGTTTATGCAACAAACTTTCCAGGGAAGCCAGAATAGTTACACATCGGTGTCCTGTTCTGCATTCAAAATTGCAAAACCCCCCAAAATTTAAAAGCTGGGAATATTACATCCTCTCTGTAGCCTGGTTAGGGCCAGCAGTGATTCTCCTTGGTTTTGCACTCTTAAGGCCCACCTCTGGAGACCTGTAGGGAGTACATCAACAGAATGTCAGCATTCTAGGAGAGCACACATTTGCAATCAYTTTGGTCTAGGATTCTTCCAGGTGGGAAGCAGTAAGCAGGTAAGCATCACCAGCTTCCCATCACGTCTCCCTTCCTGGGTTACTGACCTTGTTACGCTCTGGAACAGACGCCTGGGGTGGGTCAGGGAGCTCCCCACACTCCTCCTGCTTCTTGCAGGGTGTTGCTTCAATGTAAATAAAATCACCAGCGCCCTTCCTACCATTTAAATATTCAGACGTGACTTTGTAGCCGGGACCATTCCAGCAGGGTGGGTTTATTCGAGGCAACACAGCCCCCATGTGGCACAAGGCTCTCAGTGCACCTTAGGGCAYTTGGGCGGGATTTTTGCCAGACCAGATGCCACCTAAACATGATATTATTTTTTGCAAGTGCAGAATGCTGATTGAATTCTGGTGAATGGCAGGATTTGAACACCATCAGAGGGAAATAGACGGCTTATTGAAAAAAACCCAAAACTTTGTAATTTGTGCCACAAATACCTTTTTGCTTAAAACGTTAAATGAATGCTAGCTGGTGAGGTTTAAGCCCAAAACATAAACCTTCTTTGTTTTTTTTTTGCTGCTTGTGTGAAATGTCTTCTGAAGGAGATTTTRCTGTTGTTTGTCTCCCCATTGCACAATCTTAAAAAAATGTCAAAGATTCAACACATTCATGGATGTTTCTCCTCTAAGTTTTATTTTGGTGTCTGAATCTAATACTGTTTTTTAATGTGCATGTAGGCATGCACAGAGATTTTTCACAGCAACATGTACTTAGAAAGGCCTGGAAAGTATTTCCTTTCTTAATGGTGGTGTCATCAAGACTTGACTAGCAGGGACAGTAAAACCCCATCCTCAACAGACRGCGAACACCCAGGGCATTTGGAGGACAACAAGAAAGAAGTTTGTTTCTGGAGCTGCCTTGAAAATGCCTTGTAATTCCATGGCTCACCTTAGATTTGATTATGTTTTTTTTCTTTCCAGACGGGCAAGCTTGACCCACATTATCCCAAAGTATGTGGGCACAAAGGAAATGTCCTGGACATCAAGTGGAACCCATTCAATGACTTTGTAATAGCTTCGTGTTCAGAAGATGCCACGGTAAGTTTGCCACCTTGTTCTCTGTGTTATTACCTGGCTAATGTGCTTTTTGGAGAAAGAAATTAAAGAAACCAAAGGCCCATGGATGAGATATGAAAACATGCATATATTTATTTAAGAAGTCAGGTAAAATTAAGATTCCTTTCTTTCTCTTGTGTTCAGACCTGTGTGATGCCTTCCAGATGATATACCAAATCAGTATATCAGCAATGAGGAAGATCCGCTTTGTGGGGGCTTTTGCCTTTTTTTGGTGTGTTTGCATGATAAAAACAAAACATGAGTTTAAAATGGAACAACTATTCAAGTTTAATCCCTATGAAACTCTGTCTTTACTTTAGAATAAAAGCTGCAACACAACACTATCTGGACCAGCTCTCAGGTTAATTCCCTTYAGAGCAAGTCTGAGCTTGTTCCTGCACTGAATTGCTCTGTAAAGTGATGCTGGATCAGCTGCAGTGAGCAATATGGACCATACAGCTCTGCTGTGGGTGCTTTGGCTAGAGTTGGGATGGTTAATATGCCGTCACTGTAGGAATTGAAAAATTCAAGGCATATTTGCGAGGGACAATTTAGCTCATATCTACCTACTCAAAGGTCACTTTTAAGAGGTCAAAAGTGTGATGTTGGCTTCTGCAATGATGAGGACATTTGACTAACTAACACGCTTTTTCCCAGAGATCACATATGAGCTTTCTCCCATTGGGTTAATTCTCACTCTGCCATACAGCATCTGGGAGGTTTCTCCTGTCATTTTCTCCAGCCTTGGCTTGGTTCACATGGTTTGCCATTTTAGTTCTGCCAAAAAGTTCCTCTTGATTGTAAACTTTTTGGATTGTCTTTCCTGTTTAGTGACTTGTCTTTGCTTGTTTGGTACTCCTGTGCTTTGTTTGGCAGGCTTCTTTCAGTTTCTGAACTGAAGATTTTATTTTATCTTCTATCCTGCATGCCAGGTTTTCATGCTGTCTCAGGAAGCATGGCATGGCATGGCTTACTTGTGGCAGGAAGGCACCACCTCGGCCACTCTTTTGAGCCTTCTATGAGAAATGAATACAACTTCAAAACATCCCTTCTGCAGTTACAGAATCCCAGAACTATTTTGTTGAAGGGGAGGTTGGGTGGTCTCTTCCACCGCCTTTCTAGGCAAACTGTTYCTATTCTTCACTGCTGCGATGGGAAATTATTTTTTCTTATATGCAATGTAGTTGATGTATCTGTCCTCATACCCTGCATTTCAAGATAGAGCCTGGCTCTATTTTCTCAGTATTCTTGTAAGTATTGAAGGCTTTTATCAATTTACCTCGAAGCTGTCTCTTCTCTGGGCTGAGCAAGCCTTTCTCCCTCAGCTTGTACTCACAGGACAAATGCTGCAGACTCCTGAGCATCCTGGTGGCCTTTCCTGGGCTCACATGTTTATCAGCAACATTCTTGCACTATCCCCAGCTTTCCTTCCCAGTTTCCTACTGAAACTTGACATAGGATTATCCTTCAGACTGAAGAATGGAAACACTGAACATATCTCTGTACCAAACATCCTAAAAAGTCTGTGATTATACTCTCTTTTTTGGTACTACTCTTCCATCCTTACCCTGGCACCAGGAAATGGTATCTTAGGGGTGCTCTGCGCAATGACAGGGTGTAGGGACACCTCTTCCCTGCCTGCTAAGTGCGAGGACAGCAGACTGTGTTTTTTGGGATGACTGTCTTTCCTGATACCTGGTAGCTAGACCTTGAAGGTTGCTTTGTCCAAGCTCTGCTCAAAGAAAGCCAGTTGGATTGGGTAGCTCAAGCCTTGTTCAGATGTGCTATCAAGATCATCAAGGTCCTGTGGCCTCACTAGGTCCTTCTTCCAGCTGATAAATACCCTTCCAGGGACAATAGGATGTCTCTGATCTCCTGGCATTGTCATATTGCTATATATTGCAATATATATTGCTTTGATGCACTCCTGGTGTATTTCCAGAGAGTTTGGCTCCATCTTCTCTATGCCCTCATGCAATGTAATTGAAGGGCAGCCAGAGAGTGAAAGAATTTTCTTTCCAGCTCTCCTCAGATTTTTCCTTATATGCAGTGCTGCTGTCTCCTTCTCATCTCAGCGTCTGCTGYTGGACTCATTCTGTGGGGTCATAATTTTACTTATCCTGTCCTGTGTTAGAGAGCTCAGATTGGACATACTGTTGGGACATTTTCACAGCAATACATCCTGTTTTATGAGAAGCTTCATAAAGTTTTTTTGGGGTCACAGAAGTGTCTACCATTTCCACTTGGCTGATGTCATAAAAGAAAGCTTTTTTTGCAGTCTGTTGTAAAATGTCTGGTGCTCTATCCCATTTCTGAGCATTAGCATAAGGTGCTGTTCTGGCTTGTGTGCAAGGATGCACCTAATTGCTTACTGGAATGGGTCACCCTGAAATGTTTGAGGAAGGCCACAAGCTTCTGGGTGGATGATGGAAATTTCACTTCTCCCTCATTTCTCAGAGGTTTCCTGACCAGCCTTTCTGGAGCTTGCCTTGGTAGTACCATTGTAACCAAAACCCAGTAAAAATAAAAACTTTTTAACACTAATGTAGCATTAAGAAGAAAACATTCTTTATTCAGCCACATGCCTGAGGGGATATCTCTGAAATATTGTGCATGCTGGGTACAGAAAAAACTCCTGTTTAGACAGTGTATTTTACATACATGGTCACTGATTTTCCCTGAATAAACATACATATGATAATATTTTCCCTCAAATCAGTAACATATCTTCTCTTCCCTTTACACGTGTGTTCTGTCCTAGGGGGGTTCTTTGGTAGTCCCTGGTGTTTGGTGACCCCCAAAGTCATACCTGACCACCAGCTGAACTGATAAATGTTGGCACAACTGGGCTGGTTGCTTTCCAGTTCTTCTTGCAGAATAGGCATTGTGCAGTTCCATAGGTCAGTGATTTTCGGACAACAAGCCCTGTGTTAGCCTACCAGGTGCAGATGATTTTTCACCTGGCTCCACTACAGCTTTCTTTTGTGGCACACAGCTGGAACATGCCGAATGGCACTTTTGGGCATGGGAAGCATTGTACATTCTCTGTGAACACTGAGTTCCAGTTCCCACTGCTGTGTCAGGCAGGCTTAGGACTGAGGCCAATGCAAATGGCTAGGGTCTGAGAGTTTGAGCTAATCCTCTTACTCCTTCTGTTCCTCTTGGCAAATCATCAGGCATGAAGAGTCCAACCTGCTGAAAATCTTCTCCCCCATGGTTAGAGGGGCAACTCTGTGCTTGTACCTCATTTTTCAGGTTTTCTTCAACATGTGGCAGGGTAGACAGCTTTGCAAATTGTTCATGCTTGGCCTGCAGGCCTGGGTCCAGGACCTGCTTATCCTGCACGCTAAAGAACTGGCTATTTCTGCCATTTAATGCATCCTGAGATTCCAGCAAGGGGCTTTTCTCTGCTTTTATCACCAAGCATTTCACAGCATGAGGAGTGGATGGTTCATTCTAGGCAGTTCTTGTCAGCATGAACACAACCTGTCTTCTTCCTCTTTCCTACTCTCTCATCCCCATTCCTTTCATGATAGCTGTTGAAACTGCAAAGTGTGATGTTTTCTCTAACAGCTGTACAAGTTCATATGGATGCTGCTGGACTCTGCAGTCATTATGTTTCTGGTGGGCTTGATTCCTTAGTGGGATAAACACTGCTGAGAAGTGTGTTTGTGATGTTTTCCAGGTGGCTGCAGAATTTGGGTCCCCTACTTATTTGGCTTAGAAAGGAGTGATTCTCATCAACCAAACAGTAGGAGATGTGGGCTGGTGTGGCTAATTTCCACAAAATATGCTCCAAAGAGCATTTCTCTTTTGCTTCTGGCTAACACCTAGAAAAATAACAAGCATAATAATTTTCATTGAGCCAAAGAATGCATAATCTGTTAGCATCCTAAATACTTGTGTTTCTAGTGTTAGTGTGAGAAAGACTCATTGTATACCCTCATAGGTTCAGCCCCTGTTGCAGGTTTCCTCTATTGTCTTCTTCCACCAGACGAGGACAGAGCATTTTTGCCTTCATGCAGCATCCTTCTAGAAGGACCCAGAGCTGTAGGTGAGCCCATCATGAGACAGTCCCAGTGCTGAGTGACTTCAGTGTGGTGCTGCCCAGTCTCTCGGCTCAGGTTGTCTGCCTTGAGGCCACCTTCGTGGTGTTCTGCGTTCTCTGACAAATGGTTGTGTCGTTTGCAAAGCGCTTGGCACCAGCGCAGCTTTCTGTGAGACAAACATTGCTGTAGCTGTTGCCTGACCAGAGGGGTTCTCAGTTCTTTTACCAGGTAGTGCTGAATGGATCCTCAGGGCCAGGATGAAGAGGGCCAGAAGAGCAGGAGAAGCTTGAGCTTGGATCAATTGCTGCTCAGTATCATAGAATCACAGAATTATAGTAACTTTAGGGGTCCGATTTGCTTGCTCCTGCTTAAAGTTTGTGAGGAGACAAGGTCTGCAAGAGCTGTGGTTTATTTCTCCCCCTTGGGAATAACTTTTCATAATTGTGCTCACAGCTTGGCCAGATCTAAGGGTTGGATTGCCTGATTAAAAAAAGCCCTGGTAGGACTGCTGTCTAAAGATAGAAGGTAAAGAGGAGTCTTCAGGTCCACTGAAGAGTAAAGATACCAATGACAAAGACCGGCATTAAAAAAAGCCAGTCACATTCCTATTCACTACAAAGGGAGTAATAATTCCGAGGCAGTAATAGCTGCTGGTAAATTCCAAATTAGCTCCTTCTCAGGAATCTCACAAAAACCCATCCTGTGCCCATCAGATTAAAATCTGGGACATCCCCAATCAGTTGCTGAAAAGAAACATTACCAGTCCGAAGAAAGAACTTCTTGGGCATGCTCGAAGAGTCGGTCTGATTGAATGGCATCCCACAGCAAATAACATCCTCTTCAGCTCTGGCTACGACTACAAGGTGGGTCTATGCTCCTGGGACACCCTGTTTGCTTGGGTGTTTTAAAATTTGTTTTAATTTCAAGCTGTAAGGTGATACTAAAGAGTCTGGAAGCTTTCTTCAGGGGGAAATTCCCTAGTGACCCAAAGGCGAAAGGATATTGCCTCTGGTTCAAAAGAACAGGCTAATTTTGCAGTCTTCTGATTAATTTCAGTCTACTATGCACTTCTCATTTACTGAATTGGATACAGTATATGCAATGCCATCCACATTTGTTTGTGCTAGTGCAAATATCCGCACTGATGTTGTTTGTTTTTATGTACAAAATACGTTTGCAAAGAAAATGAAAATATTGGACATTCTCAGCTGACACTGATACATTGCTGTTATCATCAGGCATTATTTTAAATGACTAATCCTGGCAAGACATACACATGTAAAGAAAAGAGGAAGAAGTTACTAGAGTACACAAAGTCCCTGGTGTGTGAGGCAGCAAAGGCTGATTKTTTTTTAATTAACTTTTCTGCAGATAATGATCTGGAACCTTGGTGTCAAGGATGATGTCCTTTCAAAGCCAGTGAAGGTTCTTGATGTTCACAAGGATGTGGTCCTCTCCATGTCATTCAACACAGATGGTAGTCTCCTTGCCACAGCTTGCAGGGACAGAAAGATACGTGTGATAGACCCTCGTGCTGGAACAGTGCTGCAGGTAGGTTGGGTTCAGAGGTTTATGGTCCAGCTGATCTCACCTCTTGGAGTGCTCCCTCTCCTGGGTAGCTTCGTTGCCATAAAAGATGATGCATCTGTGCCCTGTATTACCCAAAACACTATCAGGTGTCTTCTACTTTCCATGGAACATTTGCTGTCATTGTTGAAAACAGGGATTTTGCATCTTGATCCCATATTCCTTGCTCTCTGAAACCCTACTTGGATTGCCTTGTTTTCATAGCGACCTCTTGCTATGAGGTACTTCCCCCTCTGAGGGACATCATGGGAAGGAGTGTAGAGATCAGGTGGACAGCTGGATGCAAATGTACATTTGTCCCAATGATCAGGGTTGTTCTTGTTGCCTGAATTTTGCTGGCAAGGTGAAACTGGCTGTGTTTTGCAGCTGTTTTGCACAGATTTCTGTACACAGGAAGTCCTGCAAGCAGCTACTAGAGACTGCTCTCTTGCAAATACCTGAATCAATATTTAGGGGCATGAGACTGGCTCAGCTGGTCAGAGCAGGGTGCTGATGACACCAGGATTTGTGGGTTCAATCCCTGCATGGGCCATTCCCTTAAGAGCTTGACTCGATGATCCTTGTGCATCCCTTTCAACTCAGAATATTCTATGATCTGTGTTTGGGCTTTTGGGAATGAAAAGAGTTTAGGCCACTCTTTTTTTTCAAATGCCCATGAAGTCCTGCTCATTGTATTTCAGCTGGGCTGAGCRTATCTTTCAGATGTGAATGGATGAGTGTTGTCATGTAATGTGAAATGTGGCTATACAACTGGTGCTGTCTCACTCATATCCTTTCTCTTCTACAGGAGGCAAGCTACAAATCTCACAGAGTCAATAAAGTCTTGTTCCTTGGAAACATGAAAAAGCTGTTCTCTACTGGAACATCTTTGTGGAATAATAGGCAAATTGCTTTATGGGATCAAGTGAGTTGGACCAAAAATCTTAACCATACCTTCAGTTTTCTCTCTTTTGCTGTCACTTTAACTTTTCCATCTGCCACATACACAAAAATTGATTTATAACAGCAATTTAGAAGTGATCTGTGAAATTCCTGAGKGTTGATAGGTCTTACTGCTGTGAGAGCTAACTGAGTTTCTGAAAAGGCTTTCAACGTAAAAGCCTATGAGAGCAATGAGAATGCAGTGCCCATGCCCTGGTTTTGGCTGGGATAGATTTAATTTCTTCTTAGTAGTTGGTACAAGGCTGTGTTTTGGGTTTAGTATAGAAAGCACACTGACATTTGGGGTGTTGCTAAGTAGTGCTTACCCTAAGTCAAAGACTTTTCAGTGTCTCATGCTCTGCCAGTGTGCAGGTGCACGAGAAACCTGGAGGGAGGATATCCAGGACAGCTGATCTGAACTGGCCAAAGGGATATTCTATACCATAGAACGTCATGCTCAACTGGGGGGAGTTGGCCAGGAGCCATGGATTRCCACTCAGGGACTGGTTGGGCATTGGTCAGCGAGTGGTGAGTGGTTGTGTTGTGCATCACTTATTTTTCTTGAGTTTTATTCCTCTCTCTCCCTTTTCTTTTCCTTACAATTGTTATTGTTTTATATTTTGCTTTATTTTCCCATTGTTGAACTGTTCTTATCTCAACCATGGGTTTACCCTTTTCTGATTCTCTTCCCCATTCCATTAAGGGGAAGTGAGCAAGTGGCTGCATGGTACTTAGTTGCGGGCTGAGGTTAAACCACAACAGCCCACTACAAGAAGAAATTGTTCAAAGGACCTCTGAGTGGTTGAAGTTGCTTTGAATTAAAGTGGCTCTTACTGCTCTTACTGGCAAACTGGTCCTGGTGCTGGAAAGAGAAATGAGCTCTAGGCACAGCCTACTCAGATGAAGCCCTCAGTGAAGAAACGTATGTCAGGTGCTTTTTATTTCTGATGATTTCTGACAGTATTGAGGTAGTGCTTAATCGGTCATTTCCAAGACATGATCTCCTGTCAGGATGGCTGCTAGCCTTATGAAACCCCGCTCTTATCCACCTCTCTCTTATGCAGCGAGATGTTTTTACTTGTCAGCATCTAAATATGTCTCTCTGCATCAACCACCATGCAGCACAATCTTTTGTCTCCTTGCAGTGCTGCCACTCTTTGTTACCAGACAAAGCTGGTGGACCAGGCTGTGTTTTGCTATGTTTTCGCTATGTCTGGACATGCCTTCTTTGCGTGTGTGAGAGGCAAAGCACTGTGCTGCTGTCTGAAGGCTGTCCACAATGCTGTGCAGTGCGGTGACACATCACGGGTGCCACATCAGGGTTTTACATACTTTGTTTAGGGGCACAGTGGAAAGATCTGTGAGGCAAGGTATATAAAGCCTCCTCAGGAATGGGGATTAGCACAGGACCTGCCCAGCAGGCATCTTTCTCAGGTCCACATCCACCTGTGCCATCTTTGCATCTAAACAGAAGCTCTGCTTTCCTGGAGCCTGCAGCTGATAAGCTCTACAGGACAAAACGTGCATTAATCCTATGCTAAATACATATTTTTGTGAGAATCGCTGCATCAGCAGCCATGGGACACCACAGTCTGCCCCGTCAGTCCTCCCAAAATTGCTCCCTTCAGCAGTGAAGGGTTAGTTTTGTATGAGACATGGAGTGGTGTGCTCCATCCTCCTACAATGGCTGACCTGCAGAAGGCCCGAGGGAGGTTCTGTCCTCACAAAAGGCACCTCCCCACTCTGYAGGGCAGAGACTGCTTGGCTGCTGCAGGCTGCTCTTGTGGATGGGGCACTGTTGTGGAGGTCTTGCATTGACTAAAGCTTTTGGGAGAGCACCGGTAAAGTTCTGTGTGAATTTTACACCAGCGATGGAGGTGTACCCTGAATGCCCGTTCGCTGCCTGGGGTCTGGTGGCCCACACAAAGGCCGGCAATATTTGTTACTGTGTCTGTCCTGAAATTCATCAAAATCCTGAGGTGTTAGAGTGGCAGGAGCTGGTGTCCTGCCCTGAGTCAAGGCCTGGGACTGAGTGCCCATTTGTGACCTTCAGAGCTTTGCAGCAGTCTGTGCATGGCCCTGCTCAGGGCTGTGTCCGTGTCCCACAGCCAGCTGGGGTTCACGCGCCGTGTCCCRGATTTGGGGTGACTGACAGGTGATTGCAGCTGACTCTTTTTCCTGTGTCCTGCCCAGAATGACCTTTCTGTGCCTTTACTGGAGGAGGATCTGGATGGCTCCTCGGGACTGTTGTTTCCAGTCTATGACTCTGACACTCACATGCTTTATGTGGTGGGAAAGGTAAGTGCTTTCCACATCAGCCTGTTGGATTCTGCTGTCAGCCTGTGTTGCAACTTACTGAAATCCAAGATGCTCCTGAACATCTTAACCTAAGGATATGAGCAGATGGGATGGGGCCAGAGGGTGCTGCAGGCCACATTTACCACTTTACAGATGTACCATGTTTATTTTGGAAAGGAATAGAGCTGGGGCGTAACTTCCCCTGGAAGTTCATAGGAATCTGAGGGTAAACATTTCGTTGTTGACGCTGCATGGCTTCTTGGAGCCAGGAATTCTTCTGAGACTCTCATGCTGAACAGCAGAGACTGGCTGATKTTGCTTTTCTTTGTCTTTAGGGTGATGGAAACATACGGTACTATGAGATAAGCCCTGAGAAGCCTTACCTGAACTACCTGATGGAATATCGCTCCCCTTTACCCCAGAAGGGAATTGGTGAGTCTAATGTCTAGAGCAGCATGTCTAATGTTACAAGGGGATTGTGGCTTCTTTATTTTAGAGGCTGGCAGAGTCTATGACTATTCAAAATATCATTTAGAGAAGAGAATGGGTCAGATTCCTCCACCCAGGTTTACAGGCACTTAAGCCAGCTTGGCCCAGCTCACCAATATGTGACAGGTGTAAGTACAGGGTCAAAGCTTGGACAGGGCCCCTCTGACCAGCAGAGCATGGGCTGTGCAGATTTACTGCTGCATCTCCTCTCACATAACCTGGTCAAGGTGAAAAAGGGGATAGTCTGGATTTAAAGATGGAAAATGCTCCTTGCCGTTTGTCAATCTGCTTTGAATTTTGGCGTTTATCTCTATTTCCATCGTTTCCACTCTGTGATTTCTCTGGTAACAGATTCTTTACATCTTAATGCCTTCAGTCTTTATTGCTCGTCTACCTTTACTGACATTTCCTATTTAGAAATAGATCTGCTGTGATTAGGTCACATCTCCTCCTTTGGAGGCCCTTGTTTATTAACCTGTCTGCATATTGCCCACTGTTTAATTAATTCAGGCTACAGAATTTAGCTTTCAGCCCTCAGACCTTACTGTTAGCCCCCTCTTGAACCTTCTCTGGTCTACCCTATAAGTCATATTCCTCTACAGACTGACATGTTTCTAGGATTGTTGACACCCCTCCACACTAGCTGTGGACACTCCTGCTCTTAGAGGGTATTGGTACAGATAATTGGCAGCATTGAATTTTGTGCCCACAGGTCTCCTTCAAAAAAATTAAAAGGAATAAATAATTTAAAACTCAACTGTAAGAATCTCCTAATTATTCAGTTTTTATAATCCTTCTGCTACAATAGTCCTTCCATCCTTATTTCTTGTGTCATAGTCTCTTTAAAAATAATTCCATGGAAAGGAAGTGTAAAGTGTTTTTAAAAGGCCTAAGTGAATCATGCCTACTTCCCTAGCTTGCTTTGTTCAGCTGATAAAGCATGCTGCTAAGGTTATTGCACAAAACTTCCTTTTCAATATTACCAAAACAAAATACTGTGTAGAGGAGTGGAGTTTAGAATCCCTTTTAGATGATTGTGCAATGTAAGGACCAAGAGTTCTTCACACAGAATCTACTGCCTAATGAATACACTGGATATTAGTAGAAAAATAAGTTTGGGAGCTATGAAACAGGGTCTACAAGCATATGGAATCTCTTTCGTTAAGGGAATTCGCATGGACATAGCTGTTGAACTGTGCAAGCTAATGGGAGAGAAATCCTCTGAGGTTATCAGGCACTTAGAGACCTTGTGTGTCTCAGCCAGTCCTGAAAACACAAATGGACAGAATAGATACTCACACSCTTCTCATACTCATTTGTCTTTTGGGACAGCACTGGGGGAGGATACTGAGCTGGAAGGTATTTCAGCCTTATATTCTGGTGTTGTTTAGGTGTCATGAAATCCCTTCCTGATACTCAAATCCTGTCTCATCACCTGTCACTTTTGTTCTGTTCTGGTCACTCTGTTTGGAGTTCATTAGAATTAATATGGAACAGGAGGCTTAGCATGAAAACCAGACACCCTGTATGTAACAGTGTGGTCTGACAGAAAAAAAAAAAAAGATTTAGTCTTGTCATTTTGCCACTGAGCCAGTTTTGGATGCAGACTTCAAACCCTGCTGTGTGGTGCTATGACCTCTTTCATGACCCATTTTTGCAATGGCTGATGACATTAACTTTCCTAGAGAGATTTATACTCCATTTATTTCATGGTCTTCCCCCAGGAATGATGCCAAAGAGAGGTCTTGATGTGGCAGCTTGTGAAATTTTCCGTTTCTACAAACTGATTCCAACTAAAAGCCTGATTGAGCCCATCTCCATGATCGTGCCTCGACGGGTAAGTTACCCTCAGGTCATGTTCATATCTGTGGCAAATGTCAGCATAAAAATGAGGGCACTGCCTCTTCTCTGTGACTCTTGGGAGCAGGAGAGTAGGCAGAACAWGAATTTTTTTCTCTCCTGGCATGAGGGACGTAGCTGGCCATTTTCTGGGGAAGCCCTGCCAAAAAACCCTATCCAGGTAATTCAAGAATTACTCGAGAGCCAGGTTCTATTGAATGTCTGACTTTCTAAGACATGCTGCCAGATTTGCTATCTGTCTGCAAACTTCTCCAATAGACTCTCCATTGACATGACAAAAGAAAGAGAAGTTGGAGTTGATATTGGGTGGCATGAAAATCTCCTTTTGGAAGGAAGAAGAACCACCCTGGCAAAAAGGGAATTCATGGGTCTCCAGCCCTCGGGTAGAGTGGTGTTCCAGACAGTTCTTCTGCAGCATGTAAGGCACAACCTGTTGCACTGAGGGTGATGTAGAAGCAAGTCTCAGAGCTGGTGTCATTAGAGAATGAAACAGGCTTTGAATGTGTAGCTTGCCAAGCAGGGCAGCTCCCATGTGACTGTGTGAGCATGGGTACATGGGAAATGTCAGCACTGTGCCCACTACTTCCAGAGATGGCATGAGTTCCTTGAATTCAGAGATGCAGCAGAACCAATGCTCATTACAATGGCCAACCAGGCATGCTTCTCCAACTTTATCTCCTTTGCCAGTTTTTGTCAGTGGATGATCAGCTGATGCTTTGTGACTTGTGTTTGTCCTTTGTATCCGCATATTCATCCTGAGAAATTGGATTTTGTGGGAGTTGAGTTAGCTTCTGTCAATCTCCCCCAGTCTGAAGACCTTCCTGTCAGGAATTAAACTGGGCCTTCAGATGCAATCCTGCTGATTTGGGGTGAGGAGCAGAGAGGTTCAGAGCAGGTGAAAAGATTTTAGGTCCACGTCAGTGAGTGCTCATGACACTCCCTGTGCTGAAATGGAACAAACTCATTTCTCCACCACAAGCCAGTGTGACCTCTTTAAGCCAAAATCTCACTGACCTCGTTACTCTGGACTTTTGTTTGCTTGCAGTCGGAATCATACCAGGAAGACATCTACCCCTTGACTGCAGCAGCCCAGCCAGCACTGACAGCACAACAGTGGCTGAGCGGATTTAACAAAGGTCAGCACATGGAGAGCTCCCCAGCCCTTCAGCTCCCCAGGGCTTGAGTAAGCTGCTGCCAGCTGTCTGGCCTGTTACCTCCCAGAGAAAGAGGAAACGAGGAAAAGGAGAAACTGAATAAATACAGCTGTGGCTGTGAATTCTGGAAGCCGCTTCAGTCAAGTGCCTCCATGTTTTTCCCTGCAGGTCGTTTGAACTAATTGCTTACAGCTTATTTCTGGGTGTGTTTTGTGAGTGCTGACTTGTCTCCACCCTCCCTTCCTCTTGTTTTAGGGCCTGTCTTGGCATCCTTGAGACCAGGCTCTGAACCTGTGAACTCGCTACCACAGTTTCTTGAGCCAGAGCCACTTACAAAAACCACTGACATGAGATGGCAACGGGGAGGGAGAGAAAAGGTGCCACTGGAGGACAAGCAGAATCCAAGAGAGCTCAAAGAAGGCAGAAAATGGCTGAAAGTGGAGGAGAAATTGCCAAAAAATGAGCAAATGTGCCTCTCCAATGGCTTTGATATATTTGAGTGTCCACCACCAAAAACTGAAAGTGAGGTATGAATGTTGGGGGTGAAGTGTTGGGTCCGCGGGGGAAACCCAAAGCCAGATGACAGAAGGATGCCATGTACACGGTGACAGTTCAGGGAGGGTTTATTTTGAAGGCCTGTGTCAGTGTAAGGTCTTTGTGGGGGCTGGCTGCCAATGGGAAGCAGAAGTTGGGCCCAGCAGCACCCCAGCTCAGGGGGTCTGCAAAGGAGGGGTGTTCTTGCTTCCTAGGCATTATTGTGGCACAGACCTGCCTGGGGGTTGGCCTGGTGGAGGTCCTTGTGACTTCCAGGTTCTGGAGAAGAGAAGGGGGTATATTCAGGAAAGCTGCAGTCAGCAAGCCCTATGAGGCAGAAGGAATTTATGTGAAAGGAGGGGGTGTAGCCCTGGTGTATCCTTGTAGTCTTAAGTGCCTGACTGTATTGTGGGCCTTGCCATGAGAGAGGGGCTGCTTCTCCCCACTGCTGAGGGGCACCTTGACAGGGCAGTGCCATTGAGATTGGCTACAGGCTGCAGCAGGCACCTGGGAAAGGCTCTAGAAAAGGTCCTGGCAGCTCGGTGACCTGCCTTTAACCACGGACAACCACGTCTGTTACAGTAACCAAACTTGGCACCGTGGTACATCTCTGTGGTGATATGGCAGCCTCCCATTGCTAGCAGCTCGGGCATTTTCAACTCCATGTAGGGTGTTTGCTCTTAGGAACCCTGGAATAATGAACTTGCCATACTGGTGCTGAGGTCCTCTTTTCATATCTGCAAGATTTTAGCATCTGCACCTTGATAGGGGCGGATTTTCCTCATCTGACTTTCCCTGAGTTGGGAATTCTGCGTGCTTCTGAGCTGGCACCCCAGGGTTTCAGAAGCAGCCCTTGCAGAGCTGGGTACTCTGATGAATGCACAGTGAAACATTATGCTAGTCCCAAATGGAAGAAGAAAAAGAACTTGCCCAAGACCACAGAAGGAGATGTGTCAGACCCAGGAATTTAGACTCCAAAAACTTTCTGAGAAACACCTGCAGTCACAGTCCGATCTAGTGGAAAATAGGAGCACTGCTGATATTTTCTAGGGGTTGAAGGCCTCCTCCTTAGATATTTCTCTCAGAAGTGATGTGACAGCTCTGGTGGTATTGTCAGGTTAAGCCTGTGTTTCCTTAGTGGAAAGGAAGTAAAATGTGTGTTTTCTTACAGCTTTTGCAGATGTTTTACCGGCAACAGGAAGAAATCCGTCGACTACGTGAGCTGATAAACCAGAGAGATGTCCAAATTAAACAGCTGGAGTTGGAGCTCAGAAATGTCTGCGTGGACACAGACAAATACTGAGTGTGCTGGCCTGCAGCTCTTTGTACCCCTGGRAACTGGCGAGGCTCCAGTTCCTGTGGATAACTCCTCCTAGATTTTTCACTTGGGGTAAATTGATATTTCAGGCAGCATGGACTTCCCTGGCTTGTGGTGGTCACATTTCCCTAATCGTCACCAGACAGTTTTTGATGGATTTGCTGCGCTTCGTCAGGCTCCCCTTGCTTGCCTTCTCACCAATGTCAGAAGCTTGTGTGTTAATGCTTGTGAGAGACTTTGGAAAATCATGCTCTTCTGGTTCTGGAGAAGTTACATGTTAAGCTCGAGGAACAACCTTTTTTGCTGCCTCTCCACATGACAGGGGGATGGCAGACTGAAGGCACCTGCCAGTTTCTTTCCTCACCCTGGGACCCAGCGATGTGGCTCCTGTCCTCTAGCCCAGGGAGCCCCCTCTGCTGAGCTTCAGAGGCACCTCTGGCTCCAAAGGGATCCTCCTGCACCCCTCTCACCTCACAGCCTGGCCCTACCCCCAGGGGGTTGGGCACAGCCGTGGCTGCCCTGACCTAGTGCTGGGGATAGTCCCTCTCTGAGTGGCGGCTGCACTGGGGGTGCCAAGGGCCAGTCACTTTGGTGAYTGGTGAAGGAGAGTCGGTGTTGGAGGTCCTGCTTTTCAAGGGTGATGGTGTGAGCTAGTTCTCACCAGAGAAGCTGCCGAATCTCTGTGTCCTGTGGGTCAGTGGCCTTCTTTCTCTCCTTCTGCCAAAGACCAGCTGCAGCCAACTGGGGGTCATCAGAGAAATGAGGACAACATTTAAAGCTGCACAGTGTTGACAGTCAAGGAATTTGCCAAAATYTGGTTTAAAAGGATGAACAGGGAGTTGGACCCCCAACCCACTGCAAGCCTTTCAGCAATGGTGCTAGAAGTATTGTCATCCACAGTAAGATCACAGGGCTGTGGCCAGTCATGAACAACCCACCAGGGGTTGCTGGAATATTTCCTGTCTTTATGCCTGCAGCTCCTGCTTCCTTAGCTTCCAGGTGCCAGCAGCTTGTCCCATTCCTGCAGCCATCTGCAGCCATAGGTCCCCACCTTGCCAGCTGTGTTATCCAGCTCCCTGCATCCTCCCAGGCTGCCCAGCCTTGCCCAGCCCTGTGGCCACACTGATCTGTGCTCTTCAGCACCAGCTCTCTGGCTTGCTGCTGGACAGTTTGGAGATGTCTTAAACCCAAGCAGAGCAAACAGACACTATTTAACCTGTAATTGTGCACCTCTGTTGTGGCACAGAGAAATCACAGAATCAACTAGGTCCAGGGGATACGTCTAGGACACATTCTTGTCACCAGATCTGTTCTATTGGCTTCATTTTTTTTTCTTTTTTTTTTTTTTTTTTTTTTTTTTTT